TTTAGGGTTTAGGGTTTAGGGTTTAGAGTCACCTCGTGGCCAGCTTCTGCGAGGAGAAGGAAGTTGAAAGCTGCTTCGTCGTAGGCCTGCTGCTCGTACGCCGTGTACGCCTGCAGCCAACCCCCAAACCCTAAACCCCAAACCCTAAACCCTAAACCCTAAACCCCAAACCCAAAACATCAGACCCTAAACCCCAAACCCCAAACCCTAAACCCCAAACCCCAAGCCCCAAACCCAAAGCCCCGAGCCCAAAACCCCAAACCCTAAACCCCAAGCCCTAAGCCCGAAACCCCAAGCCGTAGACCCCAAGCCCCAAACCCTAAACCCTAAACCCTAGGGTTTACGCGCTGGAGGAGAACCGCGAAAAAAGGGTTTCTGTCTGCTGCTAGTTTGAGAAGTGCTGCAGCAAGAGGACAGTCTCTAACAGCTCCTAAACCCGAGAGGTGCATGCAGCCCAAAGCAAAAGCTGCTGCAGTGCTGCCGCCGCGCACAGCTTTCGCCAGCCACTTCAAGGCCTCCACAAAGGACTTCGAAGTCCCTGCAAACCCTAAACCCTCGGAAACCCTAAACCCTCAACGCCCGCGCAGCGGGGCAGCTGCAAACCCTCTCCCCCACAAAAAACCAACGCCGCACAAGCCTGGGAACGAAATCGCGAAAAAACCACGTTTTAGGGTTTCCGGGAAGGCCTTAAAGACACGATTAGGGTTTAGGGTTTGACAGAACCATGGAGGCCGAATTCGCCTGCCCATCTGGAAACCCTAAAACAGCGCTTTTGGAAAGGCCTCGGGCGTAGGGCATGAGCTAGGGTTTAGGGTTTAGGGTTTAGGGTTTAGGGTTTGACCTGTGCCCGTCAAGTACATAGAGGCCAAGTTCAACTGCCCATCTGGAGACCCTAAAACAGCGCTTTTGGAAAAAAGTTGAAAAGCAATTTTCGGCGAAGAGTCCAACAGGGGAGTCCCGAAGAAGTACAACAGGCCCAGCCCGTTGTACGCTGCACGCAAACCCTAAACCCTAAACCCTAAACCCTAAACCCTAAACCCTAAACCCTAAACCCTGAACCCATAAGGCTGAACCGCAGACGCTTAAAGGTAGACACTGAACACTAATCCGTGGGGCTAGTGTCCCGAAGAAGTATAAAAGGTCCAAGAAGTTGTTTGCTGCACACAAACCCTAAACCCTAAACCCTAAACCCTAAACCCTAAACCCTACCGATGGGGTCCTCGTTTTCCGTGGCTCCTCTGAAAAACCATTCTGCTGCTTCATTTAAGTCTTGCTCCACTCCGAGGCCCAAAGCGTAAATGTAACCCAAAAGCCCTTTTGCTTCCCCCCTGCATGCAAACACACGCTGCTGCTGCTGCTGCTGCTGCTGCTAGTGCTGCTGCTGCTGCTGCTAGTGCTGCCGGTGCTGCTGGTGCTGATGCTGGCGCTGATTCTGCTGCTGGTGCTGATGCTGGTGGTGGTGCTGCTGCTGCTGTTGCTGCTGCTGTTGCTGCTGGTGCCAGTGCTGCTGCTGCTGCTGCTGCTGCCAGTGCTGCTGCCGCTGCTGCTGCTGCTGCTGGTGCCAATGCTGCCGCTGGTGCTAGTGCTGCTGCTGCTGCCGCTGATGATGATGATGCTGCTGCTGCTGCCGCTGCTGGTGGTACTGTTGTTTCTGCTGCTGCTGCTGCTGCTGCAGCAGCTGCTGCTGCTGGCCGCTGCTGTTGCTGCCGCTGCCGGCAGTCAAAAGGGAAAACTCCGCAGCAGCAGCTGCTACTGCTCCGGGCATCGAGCTCCGTGCATGCGCCCTTACTCTAAACACTAAACCCTAAACCCTAAACCCTAAACCCTCACTTCCAGCTGCTGCTAGCCGCCATCAAGTGGTATTTCGCCTTTGCGAAGTTTTGGGGAAATCCGTCGGTCCCAAATAAGTACTTCCGGCCCAGCACCGCGTGCACCTGAACAAACCCTAAACCCTAAACCCCAAACCCTAAACCCTAAACCCTAAACCCTAGATTTAATGCCCCAGCGTAGAAGTCGCGGTCGACAGATGAAGCGGCTCATCTCTCCGCAGCTGCTCCCGTGCTGCTGGCGCGCGCAGCTTTGAGCGAGGCCTAGGGTTTAGGGTTTAGGGTTTAGGGTTTACAGCGACGTTGCCCTCTTCTGCTTCGTGCAGCAGCATTGTGAGCTGCTCAGGGTCTGCACTCAGCCGCTGCTGCTCGCTGTCTTCTGTGGGGCCTCCTGCTGCTCCTGTTGCTGCTGCTGCTGCAGCAGCAAGCCGCAGCACCTCCACAGCTTGGGGGATTCCGCTCGCGTACGCCTGCGCAAACCCTAAACCCTAAACCCTAAACCCTAAACCCTAAACCCTAGGCCGTGGACCCTGAAGGTGCGCTTCAATCCTGGGCTGCGGAGGAGCCAAACCCTAAACCCTCGGGGGTCCAGGGTCTCGCGTGGCCGCCGTAGAGCTGCTAGGGTTTAGGGTTTGGGTTTACTGAAGCTGTGGCCTTGGCGATGGGGAGGTAGTGGTTTGCTGCTGCTGAGCAGGCCTGCTGCTGCTGCCCCACAGAGCCGTCAAGAGCAGCAAAGCGCTGCCGCCAAGCAGCAGCAGCAGCAGCAGCAGGATGAGCAGCAGCAGCAGCAGAATAGATATACAGCAGCGGCAGCGGAGGGTTTAGGCTGAAGTCGGGGGCCGACAGCAGCAGCTTCATGGCTTGCCCCACAGTTTGCTGCTCACCAGCAGCAGCAGCAGCAGCAGCATCAGCAGCAGCAGCAGCAGCAGCAGCAGCGGAGGCCCCCCTGCTGCTAGCGCCAGACCACGACCAGGGGCCCCCCCCCCGCACCCAGGCGAGGGTTTCCGTGAGCCGCTGCCAAACCCTAGCAGCAAACCCTTCGGTTTGCTGCTGCTGCTGCAGCTGCTGCAGCAAACCCTTCAGGGGCCCCAGGGGGCCCCACGGCTCTGGGATCGGCCGATCCCCAGAAAAGAAAGAAAGCGAAAAGTCTTTGTTCACAACCACTCGCAAGGGTTTCTCCAGCTCTGCGCAAAAACCCTAAACCCTAAACCCTAAACCCTAAACCCTAAACCCTAAACCCGAAGCTCTAGGCGTGTGGCTGCAGGGAGACGCCCGCGCGGCCAGCCAGCTACGTGGCCGCCGCGGGGAGCCGACGAGGGTTTAGTGATTAGGGTTTAGGGTTTAGGGCTAGGGTTTGAGGCTATGGTTTAGAGTTTAAGGCTAGGGTTTAGGGCTAGGGTTTAGGGTTTAGGGCTAGGGTTTAGGGCGTGGGCTGTGTCTGAGCAAGCGGCAGCTCGCGCGCCACCGCAAGGACATAGGGTTTAGGGTTTAGGGTTTAGGGTTTGCGGGCCTTGGCGGGGGGGTTCTTTTGGCAGCAAATAAATGTTTTGATGCAGCACCCCCAAGAAGTATTGAGCATCAGCACTTCCTGCTGCTGCTGCTGCCCACAGCAGCAGCAGCGACTGCAGCAGCAAACGCTGCGGCAGCGGGGGGCGCCCCAAGAAGTAGAAGATCGCCAGTTCGTACTGGCACCTGCAGCACAAACCCTAAACCCTAAACCCTAAACCCTAAACCCTAAACCCCAAACCCTGAACTGGGCAAAAGAGGGGGCTCGGGAGGGTGCACGAGGGCAAACCCTAAACCCTAAACCCCCGCAGCGCCGCTGCACCTCCTGGCCAACCCTCATCCTGCATCGAGGGTTTAGGGTTTAGGGTTTAGGGTTTAGGGTTTAGTGTAAAGGGTCAGGGGCCCCGCCGCCGCCTCCCGTCGGGCCTGCATGCGGCAGTGGTTTTGTTTGTCCTCGGCGTCCCAAATAAGTTTTAAAACCAAATTAAATTAAATTAAATACAGTTAAATTAAATATAATTAAATTAAATTCAACGAAATGAGCAGATTAATGGGCGTGAGCATACACCGCAGATCTTGCTTCACTGGCTTTCGGCTGTACATACACCTCAAGTGCTCGTTCCCGTTGACCTCCAAAACAGCAAACTTGAGAACAAATTGGCCGAATTTTGATTCAATAATTTATTTATTTATTAATTTTCTACCATTAATTTCCCTTTTATTTATTATTCTCCTTTATTTCCCCGTTTTACACTCTTGCTTTGGCAGCTGTAGATACACCTCACCGCCAGAGCGCTCTCTGCCACCACACTCGCCAGGAAATGGAAAGCAAAAGGATTTATTTATTTATTTTATTTTTAATTAATAAACATAATTATTAGCATGTCGGGAAGTTTCATAAACAAATCAAGAGCAGCTTCCACTGAGACTCCTTCGTAGGCCAATCCCGTTGCAGGGGTTTGAGTCTAGGGTTTAGAAAACCACAGTTTAGGGTTAACAAATAGGCCGTCCGCTGCTGCTGCCGCTGCTGCAGCAGCAGCAGCAACAGCAGGTAACTTGAGACGTACTAAACGGAGGGTCTGCAACTCTACCTCCCAAACCCTACTTTAGGTTTTCCAACTTTACTGTCTCAACACTTCAGTGAGAGCCTCAGCGGCGCACCTGTCTACTTCTGCATGCGTTACCTAGGGTTTAGGGTTTACTCTTGTTGCTTCGGTTAAGTCCCCATTGAATTTGATTGTTTCTTTTTTACCAGTCAAATATTAACTCGTTAAACCCTAAACCCTCAACCCTAAACCCTAGCGGAAAGAGTGGTACTCTAAGCCGCTGTGTGGGCCTGTGGGCGTGCGTGGGCGTCAAACCCTGATTTAGGGTTTTGGTTCAAGAGTTGGTTGGATGGGTCGCTGTGTGGAGAACACTCGCGAGGATGGCGTAGGTGCCAAACCCTAAATTAGGGTTTAGGGTCAGCACGTGGTGTTTGCCGCGAGTGCAAGTTCGGGGTTTCGCGCGTTGTGTCTGCGTGGGCGGCGCAAACCCTAAATGAAGGTTTAGGGTTTGGGGAGGCCGCTGGGGCCGCGAAACCCCTTTTTAGGGTTTGGAGGCTCAGTCGATGCTGACTTTCTTCTTCTCGGAGCTGGCCTTGGGGTCACTTGTGGAAATTCGAACAAATAAAACTCCATTTTCAAAAACTGCACTTATTGCATCTTCTATTGCATTTGGCGGCAGCTGAAAACTTCTGCAGAAACCCCCAAAGTTCCTTTCCCGCAGCAAACTCTTCATCGTCTCCTCAGAGTCCGCAGCAGGCCGCGGACGCTCCCCTGCAGCAGCAGCAGCAGCAGCAGCAGCAGCAGCAGCAGCAGCAGCAGCAGCAGCAAACCCTGGATCTGTTCTCGACCTCGACGTGGACGTCCTGCTTGTTGAAGCCGGGAAGGTCGAGGGCGAAAATGATTTGCGAAGACTTCGAGTCGAAAGAAATGTCGCACTGAGGCCTCAAGTTGATTTGCTGCTTCTTAGCAGCAGCGCATGCAACTTCAAAGACAGTGTTGGGCGCTGCAGTGAAGCAGCCCCCGGGGGTCAAGGGGTACCACACGCCCGCCTGCAGCAAACCCTAAACCCTAAACCCTAAACCCTAGCCCTCAAGTTGACTTGCTGCTTCTTAGCAGCAGCGCATGCAACTTCAAAGACAGTGTTGGGCGCTGCAGTGAAGCAGCCCCCGGGGGTCAAGGGGTACCACACGCCCGCCTGCAGCAAACCCTAAACCCTAAACCCTAAACCCTAGAAAGTAGACACTAGAGACTAGACAGTAGACCCGTAGGTGTTGACCAGAAAGCCTAATTTAGGGTTTGGCCCCAACATGGTGTGCGTGAATGTCAAGACATGGTTTGGAAGTGTGTTGAAGGTTTCCGAGGGAGTTTAAAAGCCGTAAAAAGGGTTTAGAAGAGTTTGTAAACCCTAATCTTACTGAATAGGAATAGCTAGTTGTAGATGTGGGGCCGCTTGGAATTAACCGCTGGGGCGCATGTTCTCTTATGTAGGCCTTCACTTCATCCCATGTGGCCTAAATAAACAAATAAACAAACAAACAAACAAATAAATAAATAAATAAACAAATAAATAAATAAATAAATAAACAATTTAATTCGCTGCAAACAATTTGCTAGCTTGGAACCGGCAGAAAGGCGACGCAGTGGACCCTCAAAAGTGCGCGGGGTCGAAACAGAAGGGTTTAGGGTTTAGGGTTTAGGGTTTACGGATTAGGGTTTGGGCTATCTGGATCCCTATGGCAAAAGATGAATGCAGTCCAGTGCCTCCTGCTCTGCATCCATCCTGAGGGCCTAGGATTTAGGGTTTCGGACTGAAGACTCTGAATTAAGCATTGAGGGTCTAGGGTTTAGGGTTTAGGGTTTAGGGTTTGTGTGGACCTCTCCCCTGTCGATCATCTGCTTGGTCCTGGGGTCCTCGAGGAGTTTATTTCGGGTTTCTTCGATGTACTTCTTGAGCTCCTCGATGGAGCCGAAGCCCTCTTGCTGCTGCTGCTGCTGCTGCATCGTGGCGTCTCCCTGCTGCTGCTGCTGCTGCGGCTGCTGCTGCTGCTGCCAAGTGCTGCCCACCACCACGCAGGGGGATGTACGTACACTGTAAGTTGTGGTGCGGGTCGTTCGCGTCGTTTCGTGCGGAGAGAGAGGGCCGGTGACGGTCACCTGCAGCAGCAGCAGCAGCAGCAGCAGCAGCAGCAGCAGCAGTTAAGCTGCTGTTCTTTCAGTTCGACGAGCCCCAGCGGGGCTCGGCAGCGCTGAGGGGCTAGTTGAGGTTCTAGGGACATGAAATGAAGTAAAATGAACTAAAAGGAAACTAAAATGAAGTGGAAAGAAGCGCAAAGGACTGTACATTTGGTGCAGGGCGCAAGGCGCTCGGGTGTACATACACTCGAAGCAGCCACGCACCTTGTCGCCGGACATTCTGAGGAAGCAGAAGAAAAGCGAGAACAAAAGTACCTGCAAAGCTCGGGAAGAAAGAAAATTAATAGAGAGTTTAGAGTTCTTCTTTGGATCTCTAAGAAACTTGAGGTGTACGTACACCTCAGATACTGCAGCCGCGCCGCCGTGTGCAGGGCGGGCCGCGAGGCAGCTGCATGGGCTGCCGCTGCTGCTGCTTTTCGCTCCTTTTTCCGATTTTACTGCTTTTTATCATTAATTTTATCAAAATGGACAAAGTTATTCCATTTAATTAGCTGAAAAGGAGCAAAAAGAGCCCGCCTGAGCCTCCAGCAGCAAAAGCCGCGCCTGCCCAGTGGTACATGCATCGATGCCGCCTCCGCCCACATTTTTTCTGAAATTCTCTCCAATTTAATCAATTAATTGTTTCGTTTGCATTTTAAATTCATTTATTTCATTTTAAAAATTAATTTAGTCATTTTTAGCCCTAAAAATAACTCTTGAAGGCCGCACGAGCATTTGCTGATGGTCAGACGGCGGCGTACCGGTGACGGCGCCGGTGCTGCACCCGTTGAGGAACTAATTCGTTCATTTGTTTTGTTTTTAATTAATTTAATTAATTTAATTTAATTTAATTTAATTTTATTCTTTTAAATTAATCCAACGGAGACGTCGGCAGAACTGAACGCCGCCGCAGAAACAGCTGGTACCAGTCAACGCCGGTCTTGGTACCAGTTCCTGAACCCTAAACCCTAAACCCTAAACCCTACACAGCTACGTGAAAACCCAAGGCCCTGGAGTTTCGAAACCGCTAGAAATAGAATTTACTCCAACGCTCACATTCGCTCAACCAGTTTTAATAACAAACCTAAACCCTGAACCCTAAAATGTGAGCCTTGAAACCTCAGACGTGAACCCTAAGCCCTAAACCCTAGACACTAAATTGGGCACTCCAGACACCTGGACCCTAAATAGCAAACCCTAAACCCTAGACCCTTATTTCTGGACTATTTCTAAACCCTAAAGCCAAAAATGCAAACCCTAAACCCTTTCTTTTCACCAGAAGCAGATTAAAACACTTAAGCCGCAACTGCACAGGCGAGCAAAGGCCGCGGGTCGAAAGGGTTTAGGGTTTAGGGTTTAGGGTTTAGGGGTCACCGGGGCCCTAGGCTGCAGGAAGCAGTTAATTCGCAGCCAAAAGGGCCCCCGCCCTGTTTGCTGCTGCAGTAAGCTGTTGGAGTGGGGGCCCTTGTTGCTGCTGCTGACGTTGCTGCTGATCCTGCTGCTGGGTTTAGGGTTTAGGGTTTAGGGTTTAGGGGTCACCGGGGCCCTAGGCTGCAGGAAGCAGTTAATTCGCAGCCAAAAGGGCCCCCGCCCTGTTTGCTGCTGCAGTAAGCTGTTGGAGTGGGGGCCCTTGTTGCTGCTGCTGACGTTGCTGCTGATCCTGCTGCTGCTGCTGCTGCCTCTCGCCTGCCTCCTTTGGAGACGCTTCGCCTGCACAGCAGCAGCAGCAGCAGCAGCAGCTCAGTAAGGTGCCCCAGCAGCAGCAGCAGCAGCAGCTCGCCATACTTCCGCATACTACGCCAGCAGCAGCAGCAGCAGCAGCAGCAGCAGCTTCTCACCTCCTCCGAAAAGGCAGCGGTGGCTGTGCTGCAGTTGTCTCCCCAGGAGGCAGCCGGGGCCTCTGCGCATAACTCTCTCCAACTTTGTCATCAAGTAAGTGAAGACATTCTGACAAACAATAATCAAACCCTCTGGGGGCCCCCCTGGGAGGCCCCCCGGAGGCCCCCTCTGGGGCCCCCCC